ACCGATCAGATTACGGGCTTGACAGGAGTGAGTTTGGAGAGATTTTCGGAGTAATGACTTTTTTTGTCTTGATAGTGAAGAGGAGTTTTAAACATACGAGAGATACTGAAAAATAAAACATGTTATAGTTTAGAGACATTAGAGACGAAAATAAATAATCTGATAAATTAAACTAGATTTCAACATAACTTGAACACCAAAAATCTGAAATTCAACAAAAGATATTAAACTTAGAAAAAAACTCACATAATTAGATAAATTACTCCAGCAAAATGCAAAAACTTACCAAATATGTAAGCACTAGGATACATAGACTTCTCAGAGGGAGATAACCCTCTGAGAACTAGGACACATGGATCTGAATCCTGATCGATTATAACTTTAGGTTTAGGGACCACATCAGTCTCCTGAGAACTCCCATCATGTTTTGACAGCTCCAAATCAATCAATTGTAATAATGTCATCAACATTCAAATTACGAGTCCTTCAAATTACTAGGAATATGAGTTCCACATTTTCGACTTAGTACATGCTATTCAGAGTTTAAGAGTCTCAAACAAAATGTTTCACACAATTACCCAAAAATAAAAATGAGATACTCATATTGCAGGCCGAAATATAGCTTTTAATAATATTTTCAAAAACACCAGCTTTGGCTTATGATACAGTATTCAGGCTAGAAAAGCAAGAAAATGTAGTGATTTAGATTTTTTAATTATTATATCATTCTTCAAGTTTGAATTCTTTGTATAAAGAAACAAGGACTTCAACAACTTTTCTCTCGAAATGTCCGAATAACTAATGCAACTTCTAAATGCAAAGCATCCCACTTTTATACTCATTTTAGCCTTTGCAAGGAACAAATGTTTTTTAGCTGAAATAGGAAACATTAATTGACGTTTGATACCTCCACGGCAGTAGCCAGTGATGCCGTGATGCTTTCGGTATGAATCGACCAGTGGCCGAGTGGACGATGATAAGCAGACACAATACCAAAAGCACAACAACATAAAAGGCACTAATGATTAGAGAACCTAATACTACATTCCCAAGGTCCAATTTACAAAATCAGACAAATATCAAACATCAATTATAAGTCAAAGACAGAAAAATTCTAAAAACATTTTTATACAAAAACCTATGAATTAATATCCAAAATTAAAAGTTCGACTCGTATTCGAAACCCAAAATAGAGGAAGAAACATACATATGTTTTAAGACAACACCAGAAATCCAGAATGACAATCAATGAGTAATGACATAAACTCAATAAACCAATCAAATCCCCTCCAATTCTCAAACAAATAATTACCTTTCTCGGATTGTTTCTGTGTATGTTAGGGTGCACTCCTCAGTAAGCCCGCAACAATAGCATCTCGCAAAGTCCACCCCGATTTGGCCCGACATCATACTCACAAGCCCGTTAACAGGAGGCACGTTGGGCCCGGGCTCTATACCCATAGAATCACTTACTACAATCGACATCCCTAAAATCATAACACAAACAAATCACAATAAAATCAAAGAATCTTGACAAAAAAATCAACAGAGCACAAAAAAATGAACTAATTTAAGAAGAAAATGAAAAAATAGCAACTGAAGAAGAT